AAATTATTGAGGTTCATTGTCTAAATTCATTATTCGCTTCAGCCATAAGTTTAAAGACATTTACTATCACTCTACACATTTTGTACAAAACCACCTTCTAAACCAAACAAAGTATTCCAACCAAAAGTCAAATAAAGTGACAGCATTTGAAACTTTTCATTGCTCTAAGTTTTTTTGAAAATTAGCATTATTAAAAAATGCCCCTATTTGTATCTTTATTGTGTAAGTAATGATTGACATAATGGATTATGATAAAAAAAAACACATCATACTGGTTGAATTATTGAAAATTTATCAACTTTTGGCTTAATACACATGCTTTTATGAAATGTGTTTCAAATTTCAGCACTTACACTGTGTCACTTTTGAAATATTAGCTTTTACTGTTGATAAAGATGGATACATTCCCCTATTAATTACATGAGCAACGGGCAGTCAGTTGTGACAGTTTCCCATCTTTGTGATTCTTGTTTTTCAAACATTTGCTTCCTACTCGAAAAACACAAAATATCTAATTTTTCTCATTCAGAAGCAATTCAACCAATGAACAATCACATTTGTCGAGCCATAACTAACTTTAAGGTAACTTCTTGGAACTATACATATTCATAAATAACGGGAATGTCAAATGTTGAAATGGAATGCTCCACAGCTTTCCAATAGGTTAGTTATTTTGTAAATATTTGTATATACCTGTTTACCACTTTCAACTTGTACTGACATCTCTGATAATGACATCTGCAATTCAAACAATTGACTAAATCCTCTATTGGAAAGTAATGGGACATTCTTTGGTGACTCCCACCCCAAACAATGAGCTAATACACAGTGCAGTATTAACAGCGAGAGAACTTTGCAGGAAAAGGCCATGTAGATATCTGGTAAGCACACAGAGTGTATTAGCTCTGTGCAAAGAATGCTGTTATTGACTGTTTGCTAATGTATGGTCTACATTGTGCAAAGCACTGTTTTTTAACCTTTCTTTCATTCAGTGTATCAACTTATGTAAATAAATAGACAGATTGTTTAACTGATATTTATTCTATGGTGAATATTTCATGTCCAAAGAAAAAGGAAAAAGTACAGGGTCATGATTCTTAGCATACTTACAAATCAGAAGATTGCTGTTGTGAATAGTGTTCTGGGTGGTGTTATTTCTAATTTCTCGGCAATCAGTCTTCCATGATTGGGAAATTTGACAGATTCCAATTGCCACCCGATTATGCAATAATAGACCCAAGTCTGATTTCCAAACTGATTAACAGTATAACACTACATAATATAAAATATTAACTTTAAATTAACACAAAATAATGCTTTAAAAACAGAAATAATAATAATAATACAATTCTCATGATGGGCCCTCTGATACATTATCCACAACTCTTTCATTACTTAATTTCACAAAAGATTAGTGAGGCAAGATTAGTGAAACCATGTTGACTATCAAATAAAATTTTCAACTTTATTAAATAACTTTGCAAAGCATCTTTTATCAGACTTTAAAAAACTTTCCCCACCACTGATGTGAGAGTAATATGTGTATAATTACTCAGGCAATTTTTATCACCTCACTAGAAAAAAAAAGGAGTAGCATTAACCAACTTCCATTCTGCTGTAACTTGTCCACTATTTAAAGACTTAGAAAAATTATAGCAAGTGGCTCCCATATCTAATACTTAACCTTTTTCAAAACCCTTGGGTAAATATTATCTGGTCCAAGTGGTTTTTCATTCTTTAAATTTCCAAATTTTTTCTTAACAAGCTCAGAATTAATGTAACCATCTTGTTTTCATCAAGCAACTGTTCAAGTTGAAGATTATTGCTTAAATCTTCATTAGTACAAATTGAAGAAAAAGTAAAATTTAATAACCAGTCATCCAGTAATCATCAGATATTAGCCTGTCAGCATTCTCCTTCAAAGGCCCTACTCCCATCCTAACATTTTGTTTACCCTTAGTGTATTTAAAATATTCCTTACTATCTATTCTCATACTTTCAGCCAACGTTTTTTCATATATATATATACTTTTTTATTTACTAATTTCCCATTTGACTTTGATCTTCTACATCCTCCAAATCTCCCATCACTGTAGTCAATTAAAAATTCTCATATTTATAATGCTTTTTTTTTATTTGTATCATATATATTCTTTGTGAACCAGCCTGGTGTTTTTAATTTCAGCCATCTTTTTATGTCAACAAGAAACATGCATATCAACACTTGGTAAAATTAAAAATCTAAACCCACCCTTTACTCTTCAGGATATTATCAATTCCTTTCTTAAACACCAATAAAATGCTTGCCTCCACAACTATTGATGGCAATTCATTCTGTACATCAATCACCGCTGAAAACATAAAACTGTCATACCTGAACCTAGCCCATCTTTTCCAAATCTTATACTTTTTCAATGTCAATACTGAGTCTGTAAAAACTTTCCCACTTTTATTTGTTCCAGCCAAAGAACCTCTGATACTATTTGTGCTGTATTTAATAAATTTGAAAGAAATGATTGATATGCTGAATGCATGCTTCTCCTAATGTCTACAAACTCATATTACACTTTTTTATCCCAACTCCTTCTGTTGTTGAGCAAGATTTCAGTTTAATGAATACCCTTTGCACTTCCCTAAAAAGCAGCTTAACTCAGGAGAACCTAGATACTTTAACTCTTTCAGCACGGGCTTGGTCACTGGGACTGACCTTTTAACCATTTTGTGCTTGTTATATTTATCATGCTATAACTTTTAAATTAGTAAGCAAATGTTAAAATTTGGCAGATTATCAGTAAACATTATAATGCTTTCATATGCAAAATATAAATTTTTTTTATTAAGTCTTAAGGTTTGTAAAGCAATGTTTTCTCATGTCTTTTTAATCTTCACTTTATGATTAAAAATACTTTTATGCATCCAAAATTTTCAAATTTCACATGTGAAATTTTTATAATGTTCAGATATTTATCAAATGTTTCTTAAGAAAAATCTTTATATTTTATCTGTTATTTTCAGAAATGAATCTCTGTACGGGTTTGGCAGATTTGACCGATCTTGTAACCACTATAAAATATTAGGATATAAATATAAATTATGCCTCTTTCATTC